AATCCCAAGACACAAGTGTCTCTGTGATACAGTCAGCCATGTGTGGCTCTGTTCTTCCTGGAGTCCAATGACAGATTTACAACAATGGCTGGAGGCTTTGGGACATCATTGGGTGTCCCTGTGGGCCTCTTGTCTTGGTGTCCTCAGTCTTGAAAGGGGATGAAGTGTAAATTCAGGGCCAACTTTGTTTTGCCAACTTGTAGACCCCTCTCAAATGATCAGCATACCTGAATGTAGAGCTGAGAAGGGATGTGACCCGAAGATTCACAGTAACAGAGGATGCAAAATGAAGGTCAGGCTTTGTTCTACTTCTAGTTACCTACTGGACAATTGCAAACCCATGGGCAGAGTCATGGTTTTTAGCAAAAACCACTTTTAAGTTCCTGACTGCGTTTGGAGAACACAGAGATTAAGCATTTACTGAGGGCCCAGGAGTCTGCCTGTCCTGTTCCTGTGGTGGGCTCTGACTATGCTGTGACAATGTCCACGTGACCCCATTCTCTTCCTCTTTTGCTTCCTGACTGTGGTGGGGTGAGCAGCCTGCTTCATGCTGTGTTACCCTGCTTTGCCACAGGACTGACTGACCATTGGCTGAAACCTGCAAAACCATGAGCCAAAAGAAGTTTCCTCTCCTCCATACCACGTACCCCAGTCTCCCTGTGTTGAGGGGTTTGAATTTTGGGTCAGGTGCATAATAGGCAAGTGCTGTGCTTCCAGTCCCAACCTTTCCTCTTTTCAAGCTGTGTATTTAGTCTTTGCTGTGTGAATCAGCTTTCTGTTACTGTAACAAAACAAGCAAGCCAGGGTATCATACACCAAGAGTGAGGGTTCTCTCTGACTTAGTAAGATCCTTGGGGCAGCTGTGCAGTGCGGGTCTAACAAGGACAGGTGGTCATAGTGCAGAGATAGTCAAGGAGGGTGTCTAGACAGTACAAAGACTAAATACTTCAAGGAATATGGCCCAGAATTACTGAACTTCATTGATTCTAGGTCATCAGTGACTTTTTCCTTGGCTGGCTTCCTCAGTTATAGCTTCTGGGGGAGAAAAGGAAAGTATGCCATGTGGAAAGAAAAATCCATTAATGAAAATGTTCCAATTTCTGGGGCCGTGAGATATCTCAGAGACTAAGCGCCTGCTTAGGCGAGCACAGGGATAGGGGTTCAATCCCTGGCACCACATGCCATGCCGCCCCGCCCCCTGGACACACTGAGCTGGCCACCAAGACCAGATGTGGTGCACTCCTGTAATCCCAGCGCAGGGGAGGCTGAAAATGGGAGGATCACTATGAGTCCAAGCTGCTTAGTGAGACGGTGTACCAAATACATAAGTTAAAAAAATCAGTGTTCAGCTTCTGGAATGTTAAAAGATCGTAATGTCCTAGATACACAGGAATACATAAGGGCGGCCATTATCGAGCCTTGAACACATCACTGAGTCAGTGACGTGTGAATAATTTAGAACTGATACTTAAAGAGTAAAGACTTTTAATGAATGGGGTAGGAGGGCTCCAGAGTTGATGGGGGAGGTTCATTGACTTCTGGCTCTTCGCCTCCTTGGCCCTCCCCCCACTAACCCTCAGCCTGTCTCTCCACCTTGCCCAGCAGGAACTCTGGCAGTTCTGGCATCGAGGCTGCACAGCCAGGGGATCTTTCTTCCTTGCATCTCTTTGTAAGCTGGACTTTTGCCTTTCTGGTAGGCCCCTGCGCCCACCTCATTGGCCAGAGTCCTGTCCCATGCCCATTTCTG